CATATGAGGTTATTGAAAATACCATGGCTTGGGTCAGGTACACCTTAGTCCTCAAGCTGACATCTTTGGTCTTCAATACTTTGAAAAGCAGATTTGCCTAATGCATATTATATTAAAATGTATTATAATGCAGATAATACATTAGCCCACTCAATATAGCATAACGTAGTGAGTGGAGTGGATTTCTTCTGGAAAGGGTGATTAGAGAAAGCCTCTCTAAAGAAATCTGGATTAGGTGCCTGCCCTTTCTATATGTTCCAACAGAAGCTATACTACTAACATACAGTGCAGAACTGCTAAAACACTTTTCTTGTTCAGCTATACTCCAGGCACAACCACAAAAAATATTTCTCAGCCACTGTGCGCAGAAGTAATTTACAAAACTCCCACAACTAACCCACTCATGCACAGTTCAAAATACACCAGAAGGTGTATTTTCACTGATGCGGAGAGAAATCTGGACAAAAACAATCTGCTGTCTCTTCCCCACCCATCCTACGTTGCTTTGGAGTCTCACGTCAAAGCACAGCAATGCAGAGCAAAGATCACCGCCTTCTTTCGTACTTCCATTCTCAAATTTGTACTCTGAATGACTAATTCTTTGTCAAATCAAACTCTCAATCAATTTCAACTTTACCAAGGCTACTGCGAATATACTTTAACAGGCTGCTTCATACACGGCAACTCTTCTGGCTAGTCTTCTCTTACCATTAATTTACAATTCCTGGAAAGTGTATTTCAACTAAGACATTAGAGTCTCTCTGCGGCTCCTATATATTAAACACCATACAGTCATTCAATTAAGAGTTAATGACTTTGGGAGCTAAGAGAAACACAAGGGAGGCTATTTATAACACTAATGAGGGACGCTTTCTCTTTTCCCTTTTATAGTGGGAAACAATGAGGCAAAAGAACAGTCCAGATACTCAAGGGTGACTCACAGGCTTTTGTTTTAAGTGCCGTGGAGTAGGTTCCGACTCATAGCGACCCTACACAGGGTTTCCGAGGCTGTAAATCTTTACGGGAGCAGAACGCCTCATCTTTCTCCGGCGGAACCGCTGGTAGTTTCGAACTGCTGACCTTGAGGTTCACAGCCCGATTTGTAACCACTACGCTACCAGAGTTCCTTTAGAAGGAATAAAAAGGAAGCTCAGGTTGGCAAGAAAAACGGGTGATACGTGAAAAAGGCGGAAACTGGATATTCCAAACTCGCCCACCGTAACTCGGGGGAGTGAGGGTCAGCGCTGGCCGGCTGAGAAGGGGAGGTGCCGGGCGGGCGGCGGCTAAGCCCCTGGGGTGCCCAGTTAGCCGTCAGGTTCCGCTGCGCCTCTCCGCTGGGGCCGTGACCACCAATTAACAATCCCTCTGTAGCCACAAGTTACCTGCTTGTCTCCAGAGAAGAATAGCGCTCCGGTAAGACCTGGAGGCAGCGTTGAAAGAACCGTACATGCCGGTCCCGCAGGAAATCCAACCGTTCGCCCTCACAGACCCCTGCCGACTGCTCGTCCTCCGTAGCCGCCATACTGCTCCGGAAGCGACGTCCAACGCGACCCGGAAGCAATTGGACCGCAGCGTAAGAAGCCCTGGGGGCAACTTGGTAGGCTTGTTGGGTGGGAAATTAATCGAAGCTTGCACACTTAACTCGTGTGTGTGTGTGTGTGTGTGTGTGTGTGTGTGTAAATTGAAGCTTGCACGCTTAAGTGTGTGTGTGTGTGTGTGTGTGTCCGTGTCCGTGTCCGTCCGTCTGTCAGGGTGGGTGGGGCGCTGCAGGACGATGCACTAAACTATAAGGTCAGTTTGAACTGCAAGGTTGGAGGTTCAAACCCACCAGCCACTCCTGGGAAACCCTACATAGCGTCACTATGAGTCGAAACGGACTTGCAGACTTAACAGTTAACTTATCAGTCATTCCTGGTGTGGCCTTGTAGAATAAGCACTAGACCACATGGGCGGTTTGAACCACATGGTTGGTGATTCAGACTCACCAGCCATTCTTCGGAAACCCTATTCAGGGTCTCTGTGAGTCGGAACCAACTCGATGGCACCAAACAACTCTGGAAACCTTTCACAGCATTTTATTTCTTCTGAGGTAGTGCACAGGGTTCCGGTGTGGTGCTGTAGGATAAGCACTGAGCTGCTAACCAAGGTCAGCAGTTCAAGCCCACCATCAGCCCCTGGAAAACCCTATACAGGGTTGCTATGAGTTGGAACCGACTCAGTGACGCTTAACCGCTACAATTAGGCAGTGCATGGCTCATCCTTGGAAAACCCTGTTAGTCTAGCCCACAAATTCTTCCCTTTGAGAATTGGAAGTGCCATTCTAATGTGCAACATGAGCTCACTATGAGAGGTAACTGCAAAGCAACATTTTTTCTTTTTTATTCTTGTGAAAACACACCAAAAACACCCGTCAACACAACTTCCACATTTACATCTCAGTTACATTGATGATAGTTTACAATTTGTGCCACAATTATTGCCATCTTCATCCAAAACATTTCACCATAACAAACTGATTAGTGGCTTTGAGTCTGACTCAGCAAGCCTATGCACAATATAAGGAAACACTGGCCATCCTAGGCCATCCTCACAGTTGTTAACTTTGAGTCCCTTATTGCTGCCACTGTTATCAATCCATCTCATTGGTTTTCTTTTTCTCTTGAACCTCCACTCTACCAAACTTTGTGCATAGGCCCATTGTTGCTGCCACTACTATGTCAGTTCATCTTGTAACGTCTTCCTCTTTTTCACTGACTCCATCAAGCATGGTGTCCTTTTCCAGGGACTGGTCCTTCCTAACAAGGTGTCCAAAGTAAGAGATCAAAAGTCTTGCCATGTTCGCTTCTAAGGATCAATTGGACTGTAGTTCTTCCAAGATCTCCAACACCATAATTTAAATGCATCGATTTTTCTAGTCTTCCTTATCATTTATCCAGTTTTCATATGCATATGAGGTTATTGAAAATACCATGGCTTGGGTCAGGTGCACCTTAGCCCTCAACTGACATCTTTGTTTTTGAACTTTAAAGAGGTCTTTTGCAGCAGATTTACCTAATGCAGTATGTCATTTGATTTCTCAAATACTGCTTCTGTGAGTGTTGAAGGTGGGCCCACATAAAGTGAAATATTTGACAACTTCAATCTTTTTCCATTTATCATGTTATTTATTGGTGAGAATTTTTGTTTTCTTTACACTGAGGTGCATGCATACTGAAAGCTGTGGTCTTTTAGCTTTACTAATAAGTACTTTAAGTCCTCTTTGCTTCCAGGAAGCAAGGTTGTGTCATCTACATATTGCTACCACTTATCTGTCAGTTTGTTGTACGGTGGTGGCTTATGTGTTGCTAGAAGCTACACCATCAGCATTTTAAATATCAATAGGCTCATCCCTGTTGGACAGGTTTCAGCAGAGCTTCCATACAAAGAGAGACTAACGGGAGTTGGACCATTTCTGAAAGGTCAGCCATTGAAAACCTATGAATAGCAGCAGGACACTGTCTGATAGATAGTCTCAGAAGATGATTCAGGACGGAAGGCACTAAAAATACAAATGGGGACAAGCTGCCTCCACAACCTTAATCATGTGGATGGAGCAAAGCTTTGGGGACCATAAACTCAATGCTCCCCTGAAAATCCCCCTTTCCACCATTGGTAGCCATTAATAATCTCTAGTTTCTATGTATGGCACTGTAAGATACGCACTGGACAGTTAACCACAAGGTCAGCAGTTCAAACCTACCACCTGCTCCCTGGAAACCCTGTATAAGGTTTGCTTAGTCAACACTGACTCGATGGCACTTAACAGTTTATATTTATTTTTTAAATTTCGTATGAGTTCATACAGTATTTATCTTTTTGTGACAGACTGATTCCACTCAGCAGAATGTTTTCAAGGTTAATCCATGTTGTGCCATGCATCAAAACTTCATTTCTCTTTACCCCACTGTATAATGTATTATGTATATACCCCATTTTATCTATTTATCTGTTGATGGACATTTCATTGTTTCTACCTTTGGCTAGGACTTCTGGTGTGATGCTGTAGGATAAGCACTGGACTACTAATCATAAGGCTGACAATTCAAACCCACTGATCTTTGGAATCTCTATAGAGGGTCACTGAGTTGGAAGCAACTCGATGGCATTTAACAGCAACCTTTGGCTACTGTGAAAAGTGCTATAGTGAACACTGGAATAGGTTTCTGTCTACATTCCAGTCTTTGCTTCTTCTGGGTACATACATAGGAATGGGACTGCTGAGTCATATGGAACAATTTTATGTTCAACTATTGAGTAATTGTCCATCTGTTTTCTACAGCGGCTACACCATTTTATATTCCCACTAGAAATGGATGAGGGTTCCAGTTTCTCTACAATCTTGCCAACACTTGTTTCTCATAGTTTTTTGTTTTTTTTCTTCTTTCCATGGACCTAAAGTAGTCAGTTTGAATTCACCAAACGTTATCACCAAAGAATGCCTGGCTGTCTACTTTCAAAAGATCATAGCTATTGAAAACCCAACAGAGTTCAGTTGTACTCTGAAACACATGAGGTTGCCATGAGTTGAAACAATTTGATGGCACTTTTTTT